GTGTCACGTGAATACATAAGCCACGCCCACTCATGAATATTGTAGACTTAAGACCATTGTAGGTTAAAGGGTACAACAGACGTTTCGGTATAGATCATTTTACCGTTGTCAAACAAGGCTGAATTATGAACATGGAAATAAGAGTGCAACGAAACCACATCAAACTTGCATATAGAACTATTCACATAAATTTTGTGTGACACAGACCCATCCACATGTCTGTATGAAAAGGGTGGGTGTGGGACTACAGAGTATAGATCTAGTCATATCTCCAGAGGTTTAGGTCAATTTATCAAGAATGAAAGCAAATGCCATCGGACGTTTTCAACAAAATGCAAAATGGTGAATTCAAGATAGTATGGCATTCGATGATGAAAGAAATGTGACAGTTGTGGCCCTAACACAGCGGTTCGTGTATGTTTTGCTTAATTGTGCGTGTTCTGAAATGAATTTCATCAAATTTGATAAGCTGTGGTGATCAAGTTCCTGTGGTATGACTTCAGTGACGTCGGGACACTTGTCAGTGTGCGTAGTCTTTCGAAGGGAGGAGTGTTTTCATGGACTTTCAAATCCCCTCCGCCAAATCCTAACGTTGGTGGCAATAAATATAGATCACGAAACGGTCTGAATAAAGATTTTCAAAACACTTTTTTATAATGTTATATTCAATATTTTCATTATCGTTTGTTTAAATGAGGAAATTACATGTTTGACACAAAACATGTCTCTGAGAGTTCCATAAATGTTATCATTTGTATGCAAAAGATACGCCTTCGTTAAGTCTTGTAATCTCATCAAAGAGGTACGGACTAGAACGTCAAAATCATCACCAAAAACATCCCATATCAAATATACCGTAGTTCCTCTATTAGACGCTCCGCCGCATATTAAGTTTTTAGAGACCCAGCATCTAATAGAGGGGAATATCGATGCGGTATACAGTGTCTCTGTCTCTGTGGGGGTGTATCTGTGTGACTATCTCCGTGTGTGTTTGTCTGTGTGTGTGTCTCCCTGTGTGTCTGTGTGTGTGTCACCCTGTGTGTCTGTGTGTGTGTTTCTGTCTCTGTGTCCCTGTCCCTGTGTGTGTTTGTCTATGTGTCTATGTGTGTGTGTCTGTGTGTCTCTTCATCTGTGTGTCTCTGTCTCTGTGTGTATCTGTTTCTGTGTGTCTGTTTCTGTGAGTCTCTGTGTCTGTGTGTCTCTCTCTGCCTCCCCCCCCCCCCCCCCCCCCCCCCCCCCTCTGTCTCTGTGTGCTTCTGTGTGTGTGTGTGTTTCTGTGTGTCTCTCTGTGTTGGTCTGTCTCTGTATGTGTCTGCATGTGTCTCTCTGTGCCTCTGTGTGTCTCCCTGTCTCTGCATGTGCCTGTATGTGTGTGTGTGTGTCTCTGTGTCTCTGTGTGTGTTTCTATTTGTGCCTCTGTGTGTGTTTCTATGTGTCTCTCTGAGTGTGTATCTGTCTCGGTCTCTCTGTGTGTCTCTATGTCCCCCTCTTTGTGTGTGTGAGTGTGTGTGTGTTTGTCTCTCTCTCTCTGTGTCTCTATCTGTGTGTGTCTCTCTCTATGTGTATGTGTGTGTGTGTCTGTCTCTGTGTGTGTCTCTGTCTCTGTGTGTCTCTGCGTGTCTCTGTCTCTGCGTGTCTCTGTCTCTGTGGGGGGCACGGATGGCCCAGTCGTCTAAGGCGCCGCGATTCGCTGTGCAGAGTTGCGTCCCTTGGGCACGCCAGTAACCTATGATTGTGGGTTCGAATCCCGGTTCGCCCCGATTATGTTTCTAGGTTTGTCAGCACTATACCCGTGCTCGTGGGTTTCACCGAAGTGGCAAACGTCTGAGACCTGCATCACTTCGGGCTTTCCTCCCACATAAAGATGACACGCCGCGATATAACCGGAATACTGTTAAAAGCGGCGTTAAACCAAACTCACTCACTCACTCTGTCTCTGTGTGTCTGTCTCCGCGTGTGTCTCTGTCTGTGTGTCTGTGTATCTCTGTGTCTGTGTGTATGTCTCTGTGTGGATGTGGCTGTGTGTGTATGTCTGTGTCTGTGTCTCTGTGTCTGTGTTTCTGTTTGCGTGTGTCTCTCTCTGTCTCAGTATGAATGTGTGTACCTGTGTGTGTGTGTCTCTGTGTGTTTGTCTCTGTCTCTGTGTGTCTCTATCTCTGTCTCCGTGTGTGTCTCTGGGTGTCCCTGTCTCTGTGTGTCTCTGTGTATCTCTGTCTGTGTGTGTGTCTCTCTGTTGTTGCATGTCTCTGTCTGCGTGTGTCTGTTTGTGTGCCTGTGTGTGTCTCTATGTGTGTGTCGGTTTGCGTGTGTCTGTCTCAGTATGAATGTGTGTACCTGTGTGTGTGTCTCTGTGTGTTTGTCCTGTCTCTGTGTGTCTCTATCTCTTTATATCTCGGTCACTGTGTGTGTTTGTCTGTGTGTGTGTCTCTGTATCCGTGTGTGTCTCTGTGTGTCCCTGTCTTTGTGTGTCTCTGTCTCTGAGTGGCTCTGTGTCTTTGTGTCTCTGTGTTTGTGTCTGTGTGTGTCTCTCTCTGTCTCTGTGTGTCTCTGCGTGCTCTGTCTCTGTGTTTGTGTCTGTGTGTGTCTCTGTCTCTGTGTGTCTCTGCGTTCTCTGTCTCTTTGTGTCTGTGTGTTTGTATCTGCGTGTGTGTGTCTCTGTCTCTGTGTGTCTGTGTCTGTGTGTGTCTCTGTCTCTGTGTGTCTCTGCGTTCTCTATCTCTGTGTGTCTGTGTGTCTCTGTGTTTGTGTCTGTGTGTGTCTCTATCTCTGTGTCTCTGCATTCTTTGTCTCTGTGTGTCTGTGTCTCCGTGTGTGTGTGTCTGTGTTCCACTGTGTGTCTCTGTCTCCGTGTGTCTCTATGTGTGTGTATGTGTGTCTGTCTAGGTGTGTCTCTGTATGTATGTGTGTCTGTCTGTGTCTGTCTCCGTGTGTGTCTTTTTGCGTGTGTCTCTGTCTCTGTGTCTCTGTCTCAGTATGTGTGCGTGCGTCCCTGTGTGTGTGCCTCTGTGTGTGTGTCTCTCTTGGTCTCTTGTGTGTGTGTCTCTGTGTGTCTCTATCTCTGTGTATCTCTGTTTCTGTGTGTGTTTGTCTGTTTCCGTGTGTCTGTTTCCGTGTGTCTCTGTGTGTCCCTGTCTCTGTGTGTCTCTGTTTCTGTGTGTCTCTGTCTCTTTGGGTCTGTGTATGTCTGTGTGTCTCTCTGTGTCTGTGTGTCTCTGCGTTCTCTGTCTCTGTGTGTCTGTGTGTCTCTGTGTTTGTGTCTGTGTTTGTCTCTGTCTCTGTGTGTCTATGCGTTCTTTGTCTCTTTGTGTCTTTATGTCTCTGTGTTTGTGTATGTGTGTGTCTTTGTGTCTCTCCGTTTTCTGTCTCTGTGTGTCTGTGTGTCTCTGTGTTTGTGTCTGTGTATGTATCTGTGTGTCTCTGTCTCTGTGTCGCTGTATGTCTGTGTGCATGTGTGTCTCTATCTGTCTGTGTGTGAACAGACTCTTTGTCTCTTGTGTGTGTCTCTGTGTGTCTCTATCTCTGTGTATCTCTGTCTCTGTGTCTGTTTCCGTGTGTCTGTTTCCGTGTGTCTCTGCGTGTCCCTGTCTCTGTGTGTCTCTGTTTCTGTGTGTCTCTGTCTCTTTGGGTCTGTGTATGTCTGTGTGTCTCTCTGTGTCTGTGTGTCTCTGCGTTCTCTGTCTCTGTGTGTCTGTGTGTCTCTGTGTTTGTGTCTGTGTGTGTCTGTGTCTCTGTGTGTCTCTGCGTTCTCTGTCTCTGTGTGTCTGTGTGTCTCTGTGTTTGTGTATGTGTATGTCTGTGTGTGTCTCTGTCTCTGTGTGTCTCTGCGTTCTCTGTCTCTGTGTGTCTGTGTGTCTCTGTGTTTGTGTCTGTGTGTGTCTCTGTCTGTCTGTGTGTCTCTGCGTTCTCTGTCTCTTTGTGTCTTTGTGTCTCTGTGTTTGTGTGTGTCTTTGTCTGTGTCTCTGTGTTTTCTGTCTCTGTGTGTCTGTGTGTCTGTGTGTCTCTGTGTTTGTGTCTGTGTGTGTCTCTGTCTCTGTGTGTCTATGCGTTCTCTGTCTCTTTTTGTCTCTGTGTTTGTGTCTGTGTGTGTCTCTGTGTCCGTGTCTCTGCGTTTTCTGTCTCTGTGTGTCTCTGTGTCTCTGTGTTTGTGTCTGTGTGTGTCTCTGTGTCCGTGTCTCTGCGTTTTCTGTCTCTGTGTGTCTGTGTGTCTCTGTGTTTGTGTCTGTGTATGTCTCTGTCTCTGTGTCGATGTATGTCTGTGTGCATGTGTGTCTCTGTCTGTGTGTGTCTCTGTGTCTGTGTCTCGGCGTTCTCTGTCTCTGTGTGTCTCTGTGTTTGTGTATGTGTGTGTCTCTGTCTCTGTGTGTCTATGCGTTCTCTGTCTCTTTGTGTGTCTGTGTTTGTGTCTCTGTGTGTCTCTGTCTCTGTGTCGCTGTATGTCTGTGTGCATGTGTGCCTCTGTCTGTCTGTGTGTGAACAGACCCGTGGAGAGAAAAGGTCTTTAGTAACCCATGCTTGTACTAAAAGGCGACTGACGGGATCGGGTGGTCCTGCTCGCTGACTTGGTTGATGCATGCCATCGTATCTAAATTGCTTAGATCGATGCTCACGGTGTCAATCACTGGATTTTCTGGTCCAAAATCGATTATTTACCTCCGTCAAGCTGGAATATTGCTGAATACGGTGTTAAACAACACACAAACAGAAACAGTCCGATCACTCTCAAACATGTGTCTGTGTACCTTGGGGTGAGATGAAATCCTTCAAATACAGTATATCTACGTGACAAAAACGAGACGCTCAGCACATAATCTCTATGTACCAGCCAACTGATATGGCAAAGAGAGACAAATTTGTCGGCTGGTGCGCGACCAGATTCATTCTACATTCCGATTTCTCTCAAACATGCGTTTGTGTACTTTGAGGTAAGACAAATGTCTTCAAATGCAAACCTAATGCAACAATATCATCATCTAAATACTCAAATATGTGCCATTTCTCACCTTATCAACAACGTCCAGGTAGATGTTAACACGGTAAACTTCAGTGAATGTTGGGTACAATGTTGACCCGGTAGTGTACTAGTTTCCCTGCAATAGGCAGGGATATAAATACATCGACTTGTTGAACCGGTTTATTATTGAAATAGAGAAGGGGGGTACCAAACATGAAACTTAGCGTGTGGAAACAAAAAATATAGTTGACTGCGAGTGGCTGTTTTGTCAAAGTGGCTTCCTCTTCAGCCTTCACAAAATCAGATGAGCGACAGAATGGTGTATATATACTCTTTAAAAAAGGAAACTTGACATAGATGTAAAACCACTTTTTACCAAATATCTAAAATGATTACATTAAATAGGAACCAACTAAGTCAAACAGAAAGATGATGTGTCTATAATTCGCGAAAACACATGCAAAGCAGATAAACGTAGCGTTTGGGGATCAATTTTACAGCTTCATCCAAACGCAACCGCCTGGAAAAAACGTGCAGCACAGGATCCTGCATGTAGGCATGCAGGCCCCCCTGCTGAATGGGTATAAAAATCCACATCAATGGCTGTTCATACAGTCCTTATAACGGCAGTATAGGCGGTGACAGAATACCAAGACTGAATGCAGCTCAACGGAACAACGCCATTGGGAGATTACAAGCTGGAGTAACTCAGCAAGAAGTGGCCAGGCACTTTGGCGTATCCAGACAGACAATCTCCGCACTATGGACCCGATACAACAACACCAACAGAGTTGACGACAGACCAAGGTCAGGAAGACAAAGGGTGACAACCCAAGCACAAGATCGATACATCCGGCTGCGACACCTCCGAGACCGCACTACCACAGCCACGTCTACAACCACACAGATCCCTGGGGTACGCAGAATATCAGATCAAACGGTACGCAACAGACTGAGGGAGGCTGGACTTTTTGCAAGAAGACCTGTTCGACGTCATGTATTGACCCCACGTCATCTGGCGGACCGTCTGCTTTGGTGTCAACAGAGGGTTAGATGGGCACGTGCAAAGTGGAGAAATGTACTGTTTACTGACGAGGCCCGTTTCCTACTCACACGTGCTGATGGGCGCGCACGTGTCTACAGACGTCGGGGTGAACGTTACGCTCCCAACTGTGTGCAGCAGGTTGTCCCATTTGGCGGCGGGAGTGTCATAGTATGGGCCGGAATTCATCACGGTGGTAGGACGCCTCTCGTGCATGTGCATTGACAGGTGTGCGTTACAGAGACTTGATCCTACAGCCTTACGTTCTTCCCCACGTCAACGTTCATGGCGGACAGTTCCAACAGGCAACGCTCGACCGCATATTGCACGTGTGTGTCAGGACTTCTTACAGCACAACAACATCCAGACATTACCTCGACCAGCCCGGTCATCAGATTTGTCCCCGATTGAGCATCTGTGGGACGAGTTGGATCGACGCGTTCGCAGAAGGAATCCACCGCCCCAAACACTTCCGGCGCTTCTTGATACACTTCAGCATGAATGGCAGCACATCCAACAGCGTGTTATTGACAACTTGATTGCATCTATGGGTCGTCGGTGTCAAGCGGTGATTGATGCACGTGGTGGGCACAACCGATATTGACATTTTCTGTACCCCTGTGACACTATCTGTATCGTGTACGTGTGTCTGTCTAGGTGACACGATTAATGATTTCAACATTGGGGTACGCAAATGTAGAGGAATATCCTTTATGACAGGTGTCACAGCATCCACGTGTGTAGGAGAATATCCTTCAGACAGGTGTCACAGAATTCACGTGTGTAGGAGAATACCCTTGAGACATGTGTCGCAGAATCCACGTGTGTAGGAGAATATCCTTAAGACAGGTGTCACAGCATCCACATGTGTAGGAGAATATCCTCAAGACAGGTGTCACAGCATCCACGTGTGTAGGAGAATATCCTTGAGACAGGTCTCACAGCATCCACATGTATAGGGAAATATCCTCGAGACAGGTGTCACAGCATCTACGTGTGTAGGAGAATATCCTTATGACAGGTGCCACAGCATCCACATGTGTAGGGGAACATCCTCGAGACAGGTGTCACAGCATCTACGTGTGTAGGAGAATATCCTTCAGACATGTATCACAGCATCCACGTGTGTTGGAGAATATCCTTATGACAGGTGTCACAGCATTCACGTGTGTAGGAGAATATCATTGAGACAGGTGTCACAGCATCTACGTGTGTAGGAGAATATCATTGAGACATGTGTCACTGCATCCACATGTGTAGGGGAATATCCTTAAAACAGGTGTCACAGCATTCGCGTATGTAGAAGAATATCCTCATGACAGGTGTCACAGCATTCACGTGTGTAGGAGAATATCATTGAGACAGGTGTCACAGCATCCACGTGTGTAGGAGAATATCCTTATGACAGGTGTCACAGCATCCACGTGTGTAGGAGAATATCCTTATGACAGGTGTCACAGCATCCACGTGTGTAGGAGAATATCCTTAAGACAGGTGTCACAGCATCCACGTGTGTAGGAGAATATCCTGCCGACAGGTGTCACAGCATCCACGTGTGTAGGAGAATATCATTGAGACATGTCTCACACCATCCACGTATGTAGGAGAATATCCTTGAGACATGTGTCACAACATTCACGTGTGTAGAAGAATATCCTCATGACAGGTGTCACAGCATCCACGTCTGTAGGAGAATATCATTGAGACATGTGTCACTGCATCCACATGTGTAGGGGAATATCCTTAAAACAGGTGTCACAGCATTCGCGTATGTAGAAGAATATCCTCATGACAGGTGTCCCAGCATCCACGTGTGTAGGAGAATATCATTGAGACAGGCACTACAACATCCATGTGTAGGGGAATATCATCGAGACAGGTGTCACAACATTCACTTGTGTAGAGGTATATCCTTAAGACATGTGTCACTGCATCCACGTGTGTAGGAGAATATCCTTAAGACATGTGTCACTGTATCCACGTGTGTAGGAGAATATCCTTAAGACATGTGTCACTGTATCCACGTGTGTAGGAGAATATCCTTAAGACATGTGTCACAGCATCCACTTGCGTAGGGGAATATTGAGGCAGTTGTGACTGCATCTACGCCTCAAGTCATGTATTTTAGTAATAGCGTTAACAGTCAGTAATGTATTTTTGCTTTGCTGATGGTTTCACCAGTTGTTCGATGTCAACAGGATTTCTCAACGTCCACTACTAATAATTCCCATCTCGCCTCTTCTCCGCTGACGAAGGGCTTTCTCGGCGTCACAAGATATACAGATTCAAATTTAGTATAATTGTCTATACTATGGTTGTCGATAACTGACATTGAAATGTTTTCGCATGTCAATGTGTTTATTCAATATAACTCCGTGTATTTCACGTTTTCTTACGTTTCAGACTTTGCTTCTGCAAATCGTGAGAAATATGTTACAAAACTACAGAACCATGAAAGGAGGAAATGTGCACCTTAAAATCAAACAAAATAAATGGCAATAAAACAAACAACCGAACGTGAAACACGCAAAATGGAAACGCCGAAAAGTCAAATGAGAATCACAGAAAATGAAATAAAAACTCAAATTATACAGAAAAACGAACCCTATCCGCCGCTGTGTATATTAGTGCAGTGCCAATATACTCACAGTCAAAAAAAGTTAAATGGGGGGAAAAATATCTTTATATTTTGATTTTTGATTTTTCTCATTAGTATTTTCGGGGTTTCAGAGTACGCATTTCTGTGTGTTGTGACAGTTCGAATGAAAATGTGTGATACTCGATAACTCTAAACGTCGGAAAAATGTTCATGCCCCGTTTGGGACACCGTTGGACACACTATTGTATTTGTAAGTGTTGCTCAAAGTGTAAGGGGAATTTGAGTCTGAAAAATTGTCCTATTACATCAAATTTAAACTACGCCAAAAGAATCAGAAGAAAACCAACTTTTCACTTTCAGATAAGGAACTTGTTATGACGAAATGTTCGAGTAAGCAATGTGGAGGGTTCAGGTGATCTAAGGGGGGTAACTCTTGCAAAACTAAAGTATTCAATTGATCTTATATCTTGCGCTTTATGGAACTCGGAAAGGCGGGATTTTAATCAGTTTCTTTCACTCATATTAATTTTTCTTTACATTTGTTACTTCATACCTTATTTATCGTATTAGACACACCGGCGTATATTTCTTTACACCTCCAGTGTTGTAGCTTGTCTAGATTATATCTCGTGGCATATATATTTTGTACGCACGTCTATACCATATCTCGTGTCACATACATGTTGTACTCTCCTCTACATCATATCTGGTGCAACATATATGTTGTTCCCCCGCACGTCTACGCAATATTAGGTGCCATATGTATGTTCTGCATGTACCCTAGTTAGATCTGTTGTCATGTTCTAACCAACATCAAAACAAAAGACATATTCACTTACTGAATTTTTATTAAAATTCCTCAACAAGCTTTTTCAGATTGTTTGAATGTTTTTATTTTTTTAACAAAATCTATCAATATAATGTTACTGATCTGTTCGTACATAAGCTTGTACAAAGTGACAGTTTATCTAAATCTGAGGTGGAACCATGCATGGCTGTAGTCAGCAGCTGACAGAATCCAAGCAGTACAGGAAGCTTCAATGGTTTGTGTTCAGACTAACAAAGGATTGTACATTCACTGCATGTCTTGAATAGCTACAAAATACAATCTGTATATTATCAGCAGTAAATCTGTTGTGACATGACTGTATAATTACTGAATCACGAAACAATAGGTACACAATCAGCCAGTGGGCAACCTCAGCCTTGGGGACAGTTCACGACTGACCAATGAGAAAATACATTGTAAACAATCAGCCAATCAGCCAGCAGCACCAAACATGTGACAGAACACAAGTACCAATGAGTAAGTACACTGACACATTTCGTCCAATCAGAAGCACTCATGTGGTGAGTGACCTCCAATGACCTGCTATAACTGGCCAAAGAAATTTGACATGGCAAACATTCAGCCAATCAGCAGCACCCATCCCATGAGTGACAAGACACTATTTGGTAGTTAGATATACAGACAGTAATTAGAGTATACAATGTAAGTAACTATGTTATAAAGCTGTAGCTGTGGTATAAAACATATTCTACACAATGAGCCAGTACTGAGCATGCATTAACAGCAATAGTGTAACCAGACCAATGAAGCATGTGCAAAGATACAAAACTGTACAGACAAAGGTCATCACGAACCTTGTGTAACAGGACGCTATCTGAACATGAATGACTAAATACACATGAAGTGATAATGAAGAACACAAAAACTGATGATGTCACAACCACACAGGCACATTCAGGTCACTCACTCACTCACAATTATCGTCTCTTGCACACACAATATGTCCCCTCCCGAACCCACCCTGACCTACCACTCCTATCACAAGGACAGAGTCAACTATTCTAAATTTCTGCTTGTGGATCTTAAAACAATAATATTGGGATAACGAAATATTTGAATTTATAAACCCATTCAAAATATAATAAAATATCAAGTTATTATTTTTTAATCATCCTATGTCAAAAGATGCTGAAAGGTCAAATGAATAAAAAATATCTATTCCTATAGCTCCTACTCCCTATCTTTAACAATCTGTGAAGAAATAGTTACCGTATTCGAGGTAATAAGCGCCCGGGTGCTCCCCTAGAAATAGGGGGCTCTTATTAGAATAAAATTAAAAGATCGTAAATTTCTTGATTTATGCTGACTGCCTGTATGATACAAAAGAAAAGTCTGTGCATATTTTACACGACAAACATATTTTTCCAGAATTTAAATTCCCGTAATTAAGGGTGTATATAACACACGAGTGAGCTTATGCTTTAAGTCATCACATCAACAGTATTGCAGCCATATCGTGACAAGCTCAAAATTAGAAATAGGGGGCTCTTATTAGCGAATAAATAAGTCTTGTGTACATTGATCAATTGGAAGGGGTGCTAATTGGGATTGTTCACTAGCCAATATATTAACAAATATCACTGTGGGCACTTATTAGAACGGGGCGCTTATTACGACCGTAAGTGAAAATGTGCATCAAGTTTGGTAATGCATTAAGCTAGGTCCATGTTTACACTCACACCCTTGGAAGCATCTGGCAACTATAAGGGGTCTCTCACTCACCTGACATACACTAAACTCATTCACTTCACCAATGGCAAAGTGACGTGTTTGCAAACGTATCATGTAACACTGTACAAGAAAGAGGACTCAGTCACCATGGTTACAGAAATCAATACTTCTAAATAACAGAGTATTGGAGTGGTGTGTGTATATCACTGAGGTATGTAGAAACAAGTGTACATATAACATGTTTGTGTATTTATTTGAGAGTGTGAGAGCATGGTAAGTATACGTTACTGATTATAGAGTTTTCTTTCATGATGTTTGTGTAACTCAGCTGTCACAAAGTACAAAATCAAGTGCCTGAAACTGTTTCTTGCTCCCAAGTTAAATCAAACCGTTCGTTTCTGTGTCAGTCATTTTAGAACAAAGACTTCTGTTGTATTGAATTAATTGTGCACATTGTTTGCTAGTGTCAGCATCATGTTCTGCAATGGAAGTTTATGATAGGGATGTAATACTGATAGTTCTAATCTATACCACTTCCTGCTGTCATGTGACATATATAACCATCAGGTACAACCAGCTTGCACCATCTTCCCCATGTGACCTCATGTACAACCATGTGTCACTAGGTGGCACCAAGTCCTACCATAACATTGTGTAATACATGTCACTTTCTACAACCATGTTGTATGACGTACAAGGTGGCAAGAAGCACAATCTTCCCCCATGTGACCTCAGGTACAACCATGTGTCACTAGGTGGCACCAAGTGCTACCAAAACTTTGTGTAATACCATGTAACTTTGTACAACCATGTTGTATGATGTACAACAAGGTGGCAAGAAGCACCATCTTCCCCCATGTGACCTCAGGTACAACCATGTGTCACTAGGTGGCACCAAGTGCTACCATAACTTTGTGTAATACCATGTAACTTTGTACAACCATGTTGTATGATGTACAACAAGGTGGCATCATGTAAAACCAGGAAGCACCATCTTCCCCCATGTGACTCCATATTTATTGTACAAGCATGAGACTCAATGTATGCATGAAGCAGGTCACAGATCACTATCATGTGGTGCAGATATTACCAAGTGACCTTATGTACCAAGGGTGGATCCAGAATTTTCAAAAGGGAAGGGTCCAAAATATCAAAATCCTCTCTCAGATAATTTTACTGCCTACATTTACATACTACATTTGGTTTTCAAGGGGGGATACAGACCCCCTGGACCCCACCTCTGGATCCGCCCATGTGTACTATAATATGGCGCCATGTACATAATCGAGTCTGGACCAGACAATCCAGTGATTGATATCATGAGCATTGGTCTATGCAATTGGGATACGATGACAAGCATCAATCAGTCAGCGAGCCTGACAACCCGATCCTGTTAGTTGCCTCTTATGACAAGCAAAGTCGCTTTTTACAGCGAGCATGCATAACTATTTGACATCATATGCAAGAACTTGGCATCAAGTGCTACCTCATGACAAATACTGCAACTATGTGAATTGCTCTTGCTAGTATTATGTGCAACATTGTCACAACAAGTGGTACCTTCACAATACCAGGTGCTGTGCCTAATAATGCTGCAGCCATATAGCTGTGGGTCAAGCCATGACATCATTAGATGACACCCTACGTCAATGTTAACACCATAACACATTCTATTGCACTGTACAAATGCATAATTTCTATTGATTGATTTCTCAGCGCACAAATCTTTGATATGTGACAATGTTGGAGATTCAAGCAAATATAAATGGTCAAAGTATTAGATAGACTATACCATTAACAAACTGTGAGAATTTAACTAACTAGATTTCTCTTCTTTAAGGTAAGGCCACAATTTTGACAGAATCATGCTCAAATGAGTGCTAATACACAAAAAATTTAAACAGTTCCAGGTGGCTAGAGATCTATCCAAATCAGAAATCATTCTTTATACAATATTTTCAAGAAAAAAGCTCATCTGAAAAATGAACATGATCATAATAACGTTAAATAGAAAGAAAATATTTGTTTAAGACATATTTTCTTGCTTACCCTTTTAGTGAACACCTGGTATTGTCATCAATTTTTGATGATCCATTCATATCATTTTCACTACTATTAGGCTTCTTACATCCAACGGAATCTGTTTCAGCAGATAGACTGATATTCTCCGGCATTGACATTTTGTGTATACTCTGCTCACTAACTAATTGTAACTGTCACAGTGTGGACTTCCCAGTAGTAATCAAACAATGTACTTTCAGGCACATTTTCCAATATGGGTTTAATAGCTATTTTAAATGTACATCGGCATGATCATGAACAAACTTCTGTCAGGGAAGGTTGTCTTCATCATGTGATATAAGAATTGGTTTATGATTGAACAATATGTAAAAGAGTTAACACTAACCCATTGTAACAGTCTTGATGATGTACATTCTTATTTTTCTTATCCATCAAAGACCAGTTGGGTGAATAAAAAAATATTTCCTATACACATTCTAATGTGTTTTTTCTGTGCCAGTAAGTCCAAACTAGCCACTAAGTACAAGTACCACCAGTTGTCCTTGAAGGAATAAGAATAACGCATGCCTGATCTTCACACACAGATGATAGGCAATATGTTACACACAGCAATATAATGCAACAATACTGTCTCTGTGGGGATCAAAGTAAACAAGAATTAAGTGTTATGGAGTTGAAGCAGGTGCTTGCTCAGTGACAAAACCTTATGCCTGTTGCAACCATCTATTAGGGTACGTACTGTGTGACATCACAAGTAACTTGGTAACAAGTATGTTAGGTATCTGCTGGGGTCACATTCAATACACATCTAGCTGGTGGTGTCATATTGTGTGTATGCTGGGGTCACATTCAATACCCATCTAGCTGGCGGTGTGATATTGTGTATATGCTGGGGTCACATTCAATACCCATCTTGCTGGCGGTGTGATATTGTGTGTATGCTGGGGTCACATTCAATACCCATCTAGCTGGCGGTGTGATATTGTGTATATGCTGGGGTCACATTCAATACCCATCTAGCTGGCGGTGTGATATTGTGTGTATGCTGGGGTCACATTCAATACCCATCTAGCTGGCGGTGTGATATTGTGTGTATGCCAGGGTCACATTCAATACCCATCTAGCTGGCGGTGTGATATTGTGTGTATGCTGTGTTCTGCAGTGCAATACATCTGCCTTGGTTCCATGCAATACAAGTAATCTCTTCTGATACAAAACAGCCTGATCACAGCTTGAGTGAGTAGTACAATATGATGATCTATCCAGCAGTGTAAAAGAAGTGATACCACACATGTGGTAGTAGGTGATAACATCCTATGATGTCACACAGTTGGGGATTATATCATGTCATACACTGCCACTCAGGACATGAACTGCATATCATGCCTTCTAATGGGAAGATCATGCTCACAGACATACATGGATAGTCAAAGATTACAAATGATAATAGTCATAACAAACCATATGTAGACAGTGTAGCCTGTACATGTATCACTGTTTGAACAAATTCTATATCAATAACAGTTGTTTCTGCTCTACAATGTTAGTGTATCTATAAGTCTTGCATTGTCTTTGGCAGGACAGAGTGAGAGAGAAGGTTCTAACATAGGATGATGTATGTGTGGGCTATTAAACTTAGAACCACACCTGTCACAGATCACTTGCATGTACCTACAGCGGGGCACAGGTGATACTCAAGTCAGTGGTCCACCACACACCTGTCACAGATGTACCTACAGCTGGGCACACAGGTGATACTCAAGTCAGTGGTCCGCCATACACCTGTCACAGATCACCTGCAGCTATACACTCAGGTGATACTCAAATCAGTGGTCCACCACACACCTGTCACAGATCACCTGCAGCTACACATTCAGGTGATATGAAGTCAGTGATCCATGATACACCTGTCACAGATGTACCTGCAGCTACACACTCAGGTGATACTCAAGTCAGTGGTCCACCATACACCTGTCACAGATCACCTGCAGTTACACCTGTCACAGATGTACCTGCAGCTACACACTCAAGTGATACTCAAGTCAGTGGTCCACCACACACCTGTCACAGATGTACCTACAGCTGGGCACACAGGTGATACTCAAGTCAGGGGTCCACCACACACCTGTCACAGATCACCTGCAGCTATACACTCAAGTGATACTCAAGTCAGTGGTCCACCACACACCTGTCACAGATGTACCTACAGCTGGGCACACAGGTGATACTCAAGTCAGCGGTCCGCCATACACCTGTCACAGATCACCTGCAGCTATACACTCAGGTGATACTCAAGTCAGTGGTCCGCCATACACCTGTCACAGATGTACCTACAGCTACACACTCAGGTGATACTCAAGTCAGTGGTCCACCACACACCTGTCACAGATGTACCTACAGCTGGGCACACAGGTGATACTCAAGTCAGTGGTCCACCACACACCTGTCACAGATCACCTGCATGTACCCACAGGTACAGTGATACTGTCAACAGTCTGCCACATGCCAGGTTGTCTCTACATTACAGCCTAGAATAAATTGAGGCTCTACCAACACAACACATTTTGTGACACAATGATTCACAGTTCCAGCTGCTTTATAAGAGAGTGACTTAAGGCACAGTAGAAAAGATCCTGCACACTGGAAGCCAGAGAGATATAAAGGACCAATATACAAGTAATCACACCAACAGAATAAATCAACATTAAACAAGAGTAATGAAAATGAGCAAATCATATGCAAAGGTACGAAAAAAAGTCAAAGACCAATTTGACCTTCTGTGAACATGACCACGAGGTTTTAGCAGGTCATGTGTCTGTGGAGATAAGTATTGGTTACCATGGTTACATGGTAATGGGAGAGATATGTGTATCTAATCATGGTTACGCAGCGATGTCATACAGGTATGTGTAGGTAACCATGGTTACATGATGGTACATCTTGAGCTAGCTACCTGTCTATGAAGGTACGAATGACTTCCTGTTTGCATGCCACTATCTCCAACTTCCACTGGATATATACAAATGGTGGTATATATTACAAGTCTGTTTTGTGGCCACATAATATCAGAGCTGGTCTTCTAGAATACATATAATCAACACCATAACTATTTTGAAATAACTTTCAAATAATCAGTGTAAGTTCTAACTGGTATCTGAAACAAAATGCTGAGAATTATCACAACTATAGATCTCCTAAAAATTTCAACAGTTCAAAAATGACAAAAAGCTAAAAGCATTGGGTTCCAGATCTAAACTAGGGCCAGGGGCAATCCAATAAGTTAAAATTTGATTAATAAAACACAATAACGGTACAGCGAATAATAATCAGAAGCGTTCCTGATTACGAATATAATCTTGACCAATCAGAACAGTCACATGTCATATCCATCTATCCAACATGACAACATGTCCCCTGTAAAGTAGTTCACTCTTCAGTTCTACAGATACAGCATGTTATCAAATCAGTTAGTTACAGCTCAGGTGACCACTCCATTTCAAATATGAACACCTTTCCTTCCTTGAATACTCCATCCAGAATGACCAACACATCAACATGTCACAAGTTACTTCGAATTTTGGCGTAAGGTGAGCACACACTTCAGATGTCCATCTATACTTGCTATTATCCACCCAAAATGAGCATCGTCCTTGACAGTGCCAAGGTCACTGCAGCATCAGAGATCGGAGGTTATCGTGCAGAATAGTGTCCTTCACATCTTGAAACACGTGCTTGATGTTTTCTGTATCAATTGCCGTTGTGAAGTGGTGAAACAGAGGCTTGCTGCGTTCTCGCCTGCGGGAGTCGAACATGTTGAGCAGGAAGGCCTTGACATCTGCTATGGAGTGCGGGTCACCTTGAAACTCGGGAACATATTCCTTAATGCTTACATGTTTAACCTTCTCAGTGAGGAGGTCCATTTTGTTGAGAAAGAGAATAATAGACACATTGCAGAAGGACTTGTTGTTGATGATTGTCTCGAATATGTTACAGGACTCGATGAGGCGATTGGTCTTGCGGTCCTCCATAAGGACTTGGTCAAACTCACTCGACGACGCCAGGAACAAGATGGAGGTTATGCCCTCGAAACATTGAAACCATTTCTGGCGTTGCGACCGCTGCCCTCCCACATCAATGAACATAAAGGGGATGCCCTTAATCAGAATCTGGTGTTCGTTGATACCTTTGGTGGCCTTACGAGCATGCAGGATGTCCAGCTTGATTGGAATGTAGCTCTGAAAACACACAAACATTAGCTACACGATATAACACCAACATTGTGCACAGGGTAGAGACTAAACAGAGTCATAAGTTCCGAAAATGATTTTTTGTTTGTTTAAGTGTTAAGGGCTACTATGCCATTTGCAAGAATGAAGGCAACATTGATACATTGTTATTTGTGGTTTAATGCCGCACGCAGCAATGTTTCAGCTTCATGACGGCGGTCTGTAAATAAATAATAAACAAGTCTGGACCAGACAATCAGTTGATTGACATTACAAGCATCGAGATACTTAATCTTGATATAATGATACAGATATAATGATACAGATATAATGATACAGATATAATGATACAGATCAAATAAGCCAGCAGCCCTGACCACCAGATCCTGTTAGTCGTCTCTGACAACAGTGAACGAGTTGGGTTCAACGTCGCTTTTGACAGTATTCCAGTTATATCACAGCATGCCAGATAAATGTGGGAGTAAAGCTCGAAGTGATGCAGGTCTTAGACGTTTACCACTTTGCTGAAACCAACAAGCACGGGTATGGTGCTGACAAACCTAGAAACATAATCGGGGCGAACGGGGATTTGAACCCACAATCATAGGTTTCTGGTGTGCCCAAGGGACGCAACTCTGCAAAGAGAATTGCGGCACCTTAGATGACTGCGCCACCCGTGCCCACCTCCTACAGCTGAAAAACCAGTGATGGATGTCATGAGCAACATCCCATGCCCTCTCTTCATTCGACAAGCCAAGGTTGCTGGGGGTCAATAGTGACCCGGAATCACCACAGGGACATGGAAAGTGTTGCCATATTGAGTGTGTTGAATATAGTCACAACAACAGGCTCAAACTTCTTCACCTTTTTCAACAGGTCCTTGGTTAATCATCATCAATAAGCCGAATGAAGTACAAATACCCATAACTGTAAAAGGTAGCCATAGTAAGATTATTTCATTCTCTTACCACATTAACATGATTAATGCTACTTGACTTTAAGGAAAAACTACAATGAATTACACTGACTTTACAACAAAAGTGCAGCATGGCTACCAATATTTGTTTTGGCCAGAACATACTGGAGTGAGTGAAAGTAGTTGGAAAGCACTTACCTTCTGACTGATCCTGTCCAAATTATTCAAGAAATACATCAAAGAATCACCCTGGAAAAAAAGAGAGAAAAATGTAAGATTAATTATACAGCAGTGAATTACCAACAGGTCACATACATATCAAATACAGATCAACAGCACACAGCACAGCTCCACATCAGCAATATGTCTCTTAATCCCGTCAGTTATCCACGCTCAACACAGACCACCTCCGTGTTCTAGTGGCAGAGCGTCAGCCTGGAGAGCAGGAGGTTTAGGATTTGGACCCTGGCCGCGTCATACCAAAAGACGTTAAAACATGGTACTTGTTGTTAACCTGCCTGGCGCTCAGCATTAAGGGACTAAAAGAAGGACTGGTCGGTATACTGTGTCTGAGTGGGTTATTCATGTTAAACCGCAGCTTTGTACCTCAGAGGGCTAGCACTATAAAATTGGCATTAGTTCAGATAAGTACAAGCAGCCACGCACATAACACGTCGCTATAAGTGCAACAATCTTGAACCCCATTTCACCTCACCTCACCTCACTACTCTCAACATCACAAGGATAATGTCAGATTAGACATGTTGTGTGACTTTTGTTTTTAACAAAACCATCATTGATTTCTTTATACAGGGAGTACTGTCTCTTTATTGAAAAAATCTCTGAATATACTTATCTGTATCTATACCGCACAGATATATGGTATCATTATGTTTTCAAGGGGGGTAACTTCAATTGGTTTATGATGTCCATGCATTTCACTTGTGACTGCATTATGCTGCATAAAATCCTTGCTTGATACCAGTGTACTGGATAGGGTCCAGATTTACTGGTTTGATTTTTGAGAACATGTGTAAAATCCTAAGTCTTGGCCACCAATTCCACTGAACAACCACGAAATGGTGTCATTAACAGTAGTGAATAGACCAGGGAATGTCTTTCAGAAGCCTATAAATACCATATTTCCTCTATTAGATGCCAGACTTCTAATACACACCAGCCTCTAATTGATGTGGGGTCACAAATTCGGTCCAAAAATATAGCAGCCAGGCCTTTTTAAGATGCTGAGAAAACGTATCCTTTGTATGAGTGTAGATTTGGGAATTTGGTAAGGTAGTGAGTTGAACTGTGCCAGCATTAAACAGAATAAATGCCGGACCTCTAATAGACACCAGGTTTACAGCTTGCATGAAATTGATACACACCTAGGCATCTAGTAAGAGGAAATATGTTAATCGGAGTCTGGACCAGGCAAACCAATGTGTGAACATGTGGAAAGTATGCCACACAGTCAGCCATGTCACCTACCTGACCTACCCTACCCGACAGTGGCTACAACAAACATGACTCACATACTTTGTAAATCATTTCTGTCACCATTATGATAATAACTATACATTTGTATGGAGCTAATATCCAGTAAATCACTGCTCAAAAGTGCTTTAATTCTGAGTAATGTCATGAGACAAATCAATTTAGTCTCTATACTTCATAGGCCTGCTTAAAAGTATGAGTTTTCAGTTTATTCTTTAAAAAAACATTGCAACATTGTTACTTGTTACATTGCAAGTTCCTGAATTGTGTGAATTAGACTCATATTCCTGATGCGAAAATATGCGGCATTACCAGTTCAACGGTAAATTGAGGATCATTCTTTCCTCGATACAAATCACAGTAAAATTTTGAATGCTCAGTATATCTGGTGATCAAAAATAGCAATTTTTATTATGTGTTTAAAGTTTACACTTGCCAAATACCTTCGCTGACCCAGAGCGTGCATCTGGGGCCTCAAGATGGCTGCGTATTTATAGAATGAGTAAACATTATGTTGTAAGAATCTTGTTTTGTTCTATTTATGAACTTCAATTGATGCATTGATGTTTCAGATTGCTTCTGAATTCAAAATTTAGAATAAGAAAATATATTGTGATATGTATCACAATATGGATACACTTTAAACCGACAATACATATCCCTAACATTGACAGATTCTATTTACTTGTGTTTCCAGGCTGAGTGAAGAATCCAACATAACTCCCAAATTGGGAGCTCCTGTGCTTGGCTTAATGACACAATCGCCAAATGTGATATTCAGGGGTGACATGGTTGCTTTTAAATATTAAACAGGAATCGGCACCAATTTCTCATCAAATCTAATGATCCTTGTGAAGCGCTTTATCATAACATTGACAGCAACATAAGCATCTTACAGGCCACAGATTCAAACACATAACATATTTTCCAAACACCAACACTAAAACCTGATTTCACATCTGTAAAGAACTGAATTGGCATATTTGACATAATTACATAAAAAGCTTAAACAGCAGTAGGCTGCAGTGGCAGAGGAAGTGCAAGAGCAGGAAGCGAGTGTACTTTGATCTACAGCTGCAGAAGGTTGTATGGTTATGTAAGTCACAGGGGATCTCTAGATGTGTGGTATTCCAACACTGCCAGGTTGAAAAACGCAGGGAAAAAAGGCCGATATTGAGTACCATCCCCTAATCATCTATATACTGGTGGAGTCTATGCACTTCCATGTCCTATGACAAAGGTTAAAGAGTTTTGAATAAATAAAATTGGTTCTTTTCTTACATCAACAGGAAATACATTCACTGAAGTTACCATGGATACGTATAGGCCATTTTACATGTATGGCTAATATGTCTACTGTAAAAAGGTATTAAAGTCGTTTAGAATGTGTTAATCTGGCTTTAGGCAACTTTTAACCTACTTAAGTACACCATATTTTTCTTTAAATGGACTTGTTCCTTTCTAATGATCCTTCAATCATTCGGCAGCATTAGAAATTGGCACTAGTCCTATAGTCCTTGCCAAACTGCCCAATGGTAAAGGTATCATAAGGACTAGTATAAATGTGCCCTTTTTAAGGGTTTTGCTATATGTTATCATTATAAGGCCTAGTGGACGAAAACTGTTAGTTTCTAACTCTGCATTGGTCAACCCTGAAAGCGAATTTACTGGCCAAGAGAATCTGTACAACAAGGACATAAACTGATCTGACCTCGCAGGAGTACAGCCACACAATGGTAGCGAGTCTACAGTACTCTTTCCATTGTTGTACCACTGACAGAGGCTGTCAACACCCTGCGTACAATGTACACACAGTAAATGGAGGCTGTGTGCCATGTTTCTCTTAAATAAACATGGTCTTGACAGAACAATGTCATTTTCCAATCATGTCATAAAACCCACTGATGGAGGAAGTAGATTTCAAATTCATCAGACGTCATGAATTATTTTAAACAACCTTTGTACTTATTATCTTCACAGCAATAGATATGGACGAAATATTTTCCTGGTCTGACAGCAAATATGGACAACATTCAGTACACTGTACAGCATTGTAGCCAGCCCCTTCCTCTGTGTCTTTTGGTTAATAACTGCACTGCACATATGAAAGACAATAAAATACTTAGATGTCAAACTTCCTCGTCTTAATTTCCCTTATTTCACTTTGCTGTAATACACTCATCACAAATCAACAGCTTTGAATTGTCTTTGACGATATGCATTTGCAGATGAAAGCAACATGCCACAGACTTGAAGAATCTGACGAAAGTCAGCTACTTCCTTCACAGAGGGTTTTAACTTTCAAAAGTGGCGTAGGAAACAGGTTTCAAACCACATCAAGCAAATATTAAATTACTTACGACATGTACCACACATAACTGTATGGCTGGGTTAGAAATTAACATTCTCCTAGTCCGAGACTTGTAAAATTCAGGAAGGACTAGTGACATTCCTTGTGGACTACCACTTTTACCCTTAGGTATGTTTGTTTGATGTTTAATGCCTCACTCAGCAATATTCCAGCTATATGACGGCAGTCTGTAAATAATCGTGTCTGGACCAGACAATGCAGGATTGATATCATGATCATCAATCCACACAATTGGGATACGATGACATGCATCAACCAAGTCATCGAGCCTGACCATCCGATCTCATTAGTCCCCTCTTACGACAAGCATAGTCGCCTTTTATGGCAAGCATGGGTTGCTGAAGACCTATTCTACCCCGGATGTCCATTAGGTAGATGGCAACTCTGTAGATTGTTTTTGTGGGCCGGTGAAAACAACAAGTAATGTGAACATTAGCGACTTGTAGTGTAACCATGTTATTGTAACCATTGTTACTGTCAATATACAAACTACTGTAAACCTTGAAATTAACGCGAGCGTGAATTAAATGCGAAAAATGGTCTTTGTTTGCATTAATGAAACTTCGCATTTATGTCTCAAAATGACTATCAACAATGCGACAGCTTCATTTCACAGAGGAGTCGCATTGATTTTGAGTCACATTTTTGGCTAGGGGTCAGCAGTCGTATTAACATGATTAATTTGGAGATGCATTAATTTCAAGATTTACATTATGTGACCAATCATGAGATAAGGGACCTTATGGATGAAAAATCACATTTTGACTTTTCATTATAATTTAAAACTACAGCATCTTTGGAACACAAAAATATATTTCACAAGCTTCAAGTCATATTTATTTCAAAGATACATGACAGCACATATGGTGATCTTCACTCAAGTAAGTTGACGTCATAGCACAGATGTATCCTAGGACCAAAAGGTCCCTATTCTCCTGGTGGTTCACATATCACATTACTAACTATGGATCCAGGTGGTCCTGAGGGTACACGGGTCCTACTCAGGACCCACCCAGTCTTAGTACCTCAGTTACCAGTCCTAGCCCTACTGGTGAGACTTTAATAAAATACTTGTCGGTCTGTCCGACAGCACACTCTCTAATCACTAGGCACACTGTAACCTCCAACAGAAAGGAAGGATACTGCTCCATCAACATCAATCAATAGACAGCAGAAAAGGGACTTCATTAATACTTGCAATTTATGAAACTTCCTCTGGAACGGAGGTGAATACTACAGTACATTGGTGAATGTGATTAAGCATCCTGTGTGATAGGGCAGTGGGTGTTTATCTCAGGCAGCTAGCAGTATATAACCAACATGGTTCAGACAAACCCTGGCTGCTAATGTGCCATAAAATCAGGGAACCTTGACGTGACACACT